ATTAAAAGCCAACGACTAATCTGGGCCTCCATCCAATGTATGTTAGGCTTCTATATATATATTGTTCCCGTGTCTGTCGTATCGATCTCCGCTGTCGCATTTGACTCTGCCTGCGATGAGATTAGTATGTTATACGTCGATCTCCCTGACCCTGCACCGAAGAACTCTGTCAACCAGACCCTGCACCCTGCGTCCGTTCAATTCACCCTGCGTCCGCTCAATTCTCCTGTTCTGGTATTACTTTATCGATCAAGATTTGATTCAAGTGATCTGCAGCTACTACAACTCCGTTTTAAAGCAAGATTTGATTTTTTTTTACAGGTTCCTCATCTAAAACTATGTATAAATTAATCTCAGCTTTCGTGATCTTGATAGCATAACTTTGAGGGAGTTTGTAAGGTATATTCATTTGCTATTAAGTTTATTTCTCCCATGTTCCCTATAAGCAACATAGGCTAGCTTTACCATGTATCTTTCATGTTTTTCCTACTGTCTTTACAGATCTTTACAGTATCAATATCCACTTATTTCTGAAATTCAAAATTAAAAATTAGCATGCGTAGATATTTTGACCAAAACCACAGTTAGCAAGCTAACGAAGATAAAATTTTTTATTGTTAAAATACTATAAATATTAGCCGTATGATGCACGGTTTGACGATTAGATCTATAATAATCAGACATTTTATATTTTTAAAAGCTCCCGCATTAACTAGAAATACATGACCGTTTACCACGTGCAGTTGATAGTTGATGATCCAAATCCATTTAAAACCCCTATACTCTAAAGGTCTTCGTAAGCTATGATCAGCAGCGGTGGGATTGCGAGCAGATCGAGGAACTTATGTCATTCTCTATCTCCTACTATTATCTCCGCTTAACACAAATATCATATCAGCACCTAAATGGTAAAAAACATTCTCTATCTCCTACTATTATCTTGATTAGCAAAAAAATTAGGGAATGGATTCCAAATTTTTTATTGAGTGAGTGAGAGAAAAAGGACAAAAGATAACTATCCAGAGGGGAAAAAAAGGTACACGGTGATGTGTGCCTATTTTATAATATATGGAAATATACATACCGTTTTGTTACGATTTTAAATTTTTTTTTGTTATTTACAACATTCATAAATATTCCAGTAATGCTATTTTACGATTTAGAATAGTAATCTATTTAACTATTTCCTTTTTTCTTATTGACTCGGCACTTTGAGAGAGCTTCCACACTAAAATAATATCGACTATTGATTATATGTATCGTGTTAAATAAAACATGCAGTTGGAATATCACCAGTTAATTTATAATTTTTAAAATCTAATAATATATTCTAAAATTATGAATTATGTATATTTTAGATTCTCATTTTAATATTGTTAATTGCCCAAATTATATACTTGAAGTCTTGAACTATGAAAATGACCAGGATATTCAACATAGTATTAAGAACTCTCATATTTGTTATATACATATATATGAATAAATAATCTGTTAACCCATTCAAGTTTTACATGATAACAAATTAATATCAAATATGACCCGTGCAACGCACGGGTTGACGGCTAGTATAAGTAATAATCAACAGGTAAGAGCTGTTACGGATGACACTGAAACTGTATCTAGAAATAGTAATTATATAAAAACATTATAACCTATTACCTTAAAAATTTTCGGATATTATTATATGCGAAGTACTTGATGATGATATATCGATTCCATCCAATAGTTTCTTTATGACATGGACTGATCATTCAGAAAACTAATATTATTTATAGTGATTTAACTCATATAAATTAAATTATGAAATTACATAGCCAAATAAAATCTTGCCAGTTTATTAATCGTGGGTGTCTAGATGCATTCGGCAAATTAATGGACTGCACACCACTGGTCCAACCGAATTAATATGATATAGCAATTAGACATTAGCAAGGTGCACTGTACATCGCAAGAGGCTACATCCAAGTAGCCAACTGATATAACGATTGATGTATAAATTTTCTTGCTGCTTACCTGGTCACCTGAACACCTCTTGAGTAGTAGGGTCTTGATCATCAAGCGATCAAGCCGTGCACTGCAGTTTATCAGTCAGGCAGCAGCAGTTGCAGCCGCTTATCGCATCAGCCTGCCTGGCTGCCTTACTGTTGGGCTTGGGGGGGGGGGGGGGGGGGGCACGATTTGGGAACCGTATCCTCTAAACATTATAAAGGCTCTGTTTGGGAGTGAGGGTTGGGAACCCTCACTCTCGGACACATAAAACGAAACAACGTTTAGCACGTGATTAATTAAGTTTATCTTTTTTTTTAAAAAAAATGAATCAATATGATTTTTTAAAGCAATTTTCGTATATAAACTTATTTGAAAAAAACGTGCCGTTTAGAAGTTTGAAAAGCGTACGCGCGGAAAACGATAAGGAGGATTTGGGAACTACCCCTACATTCCTTTGATCCACACCATTCATTCTAAATCAACGGCCATAGAATATTTGGCATGCAATTAATCAAACTAATGAATATATTATGTAGTTATAAAAATTCCTATAGACCATATATATATATAACATTATCAAGGAGGCAAATATCGCTAAATGGTAGAAGAATCGGCAAGTAACTAGCACATGATGATAACTAGGTTTTACTTACTCGTTAGATGCAGTGATTAGCACAAGGTCCTGTTGAGGAATGAATCTTGTGTATCAATTTTCTTTGTGTTGCCATTCTCTATAAGAAAGAGACAATTCTTAATCTACTAGTATGAACATGAAGGGACTACTTTGGTGCCTAAAAAGAATTCCTATCGATTAAGTATGATAATGTTTAACTACATAATCTGCTAATTAATTTAATTAGTTGTATGCCAATTAATCTATAGCCATTGATTTAGTCACACCGTAATATTACTGTGTATTTCAGGGGATATGGCTCCTACGATCTGGGGCCAGAGCGGTCGCACTGCTTGCTCCCCTCAGGGCTGGCCCAGCTCTAAATATAAGATAGAAAGATATAATTTATTGTTCTTTTTTATCTACAAGGTATAAAAAATGAGTAAACCAAGCCGAAATCTATCAAAACTAGGTTAAAAAATAATCTCTTTCACCTATTTAATAGCGATTTTGATCCATATGGATAATAATTCCACTTTTTCAAATTTGAGAGAGTAGAAACATTGGACCCACATAGCCAATGTCAGATTAGAGAGCTATGGCTCATGCATAGAAAAGATTGATCTTTATTGTCACAAGACACAACAATTGTTCTTAATTAAAACAGTAAAGTAGCATACTGAATTTCAAAACTCTGTGTCTTACAGCCTACCCCCATTACTAGTGGGTTCCACCGCAGTCAAAACATCTGTCAAACAAGATTTTTTTATTTTTATTTTTAAAAATAAACACTCTGATCTCCTTTTGACCATGCTAATTAGACTGATGTAGCAAGACAATATTATTACATTATGAGCAGCTAGCGTGGCAACATTGTCATGTAAAAATCCTTGCCACGTCACTATTTTTTATCGGCGTAGCAATATTATCTTGCAATGCCGGTGTTTGAAAATAAGTTTCTCACGGTTTATTTTGAAATTAGAAAGGTTTGAAAATAAAAAATATCATCAAACTAGGTTGGGTCCATGAGATTTATTTGATATTTTAGCTCAGCCCTGAAAGTTAAACCAAACCAGGTATTATAGGACAGCAAATTAACCAGATTTTCCCCCTTTTTTGCAGGGATAACTAGGATTTTTCCCAGAGGATATTTGTGAAGCAATTTTAGTTACAAATATAATTATCCAAATTTTACGCTACCAGGATTTTTCATTTTGAGAGAAATATTTTGGCATAACTCAAAAGGAAAACTTGATATCTCCTTAGGGCATCTTCCTCGATATCACTGTCCCCATCCCTGTCCTGTTTTTTTTCTTTATCTTTTCTCTCCAAAACTTTCAAATTTGTTACCGTTGGACAGTCTTGTGATTCCTGATGAGAAGAAAAAAAATGAAAAAGAATATCACAACACAGCATGTACTAGCGAGAGGTCGAATACACGATTGGAAGGTTTATAGCCAACAGGGCTACACAACATTTTTTGATTTGTTATGAACAAGAGTTACATATTAAACTACTAAAGTATATTACTTTTATAATTACACTTCAATTATATAACATTTACATATGAAAGATTTTCATCCAAAAAGTATCTAACGTTATATCGTTACTCCTTTTATAAGGAAAAGCATCCACAAATCCCTATCTGCATCCACCTTTATTTTATCTCACTATCCTACTATCTCACTTTCTATCCATCCCCTCTGCCTCAAATATGAGTCAAAAGTGACTCTCTATCTCCATTGCTCTCCCATATGGTGTGTTCCCCTGCTTTTTTTTTTTTTGGAGTATAAGATCGATAAGATATAGAAGGATGAGATATAAGGCACAAAATTAGAATGATATATGAAACATACATAGAAATATGTAACCTTTAAAAAAAAGTATGATCTTTCTCCACATTTAGGGAGTTAAAAATAGGAAGATTGATGGACATACCCTGATAACAAAAAGTCCGTCAACGCCGGACATACAGGAGAGAGACAAGGTAATAGTGATTTGCGAACAACTTGCTTGAGGGAGTAATTAAAGAACCTAGGCTGTCAATGCCCCTCATCAATGCCCGCTCTGCACTATACTCCAACCGTCCCATTTTAAGTGCAGCCATGATTTTTCGTGTACAACTTTGACCATCTTTTTTATTTGAAATTTTTTTTAAAAAAATTAAAAACATGTCACGTATAAATTACTATTCATATTTTATCATGTCATAAAAAAATAATAATCATAAAAAAATTTTAAATAAGACGAATGATTAAAGTTGAGCATGGAAACTTATGATTGTATTTAAAATAGAACGGAGAGAGTACATCATTACATAAATGTTCCTCTGTGTCCGACAGTAGGAGTGTGGGATGACGTGTATATATAAGCTTGGCATTGCCATTTGCAGGGGCCAAGTCACGCGAGGTTGTACTGTCTTAATGGCGCTCTTGGCTGGCTTCACCGTTTTCGTGTTAGCAGCATCTGTTCCTGCCACCGGCCAGCAAGGTATGCCTTTTCGTTCTTCCTTTTTCCGTCGATTGCGCAATTCAGCCCGGCCCTCTCTAGTTTTGTTGCACGCGTGTTTCAGTAAGCAAAACATTCAAAATTATTTTCGGTGGTACTGTTTCTATCATCTATAGAGGCGCTTCGGAATCTCGAAATATGAAACCATGTCTATTTTGGGTGTGGGCATCTCTAAGAGCATTGCTAGATAGCTCTCTAAGCTAAATTTAGGTAAACTTAAAAAAAAATAGCATCCCCAAGAGTCTCACCAACCAGCTGTCCAAACCATCCGGCCAATCAAACTCCTTTACATTCTGGCCAAATGATGAGACCCACACCGATCTCTCCTCCCGCTCCATCTATCCCTCGCATCACACCGCGTCTTTCCCTCCCCACTCTCCCTCCCTGCATTTGGTGCGGCGCTGTCTCCATCCCATCTGTGCCGCCACTACAAGAACACCCTCCCACCCCGAAGGCGTCGTGCACCCTACCCAAATTTGCCATACCCACCTTCGCCACATCAACGGTGGCCTGCCCCGAGCCACCACGTGCCACACTGTCGCATCACCTCCACCCTTTGCCTTAGTTCATATCGATGCTGCCTTCGCCTTGAGGTGGTTGGGATCTCATGCAAATCAAACCGATTCGAGGATAAACAACGTTACGTAGGCTCAAGATCCCGAGCTCATTTGTCCCTTCTACCACTCCCTTTTGCTACCAGCCGACGTTGATGATGTATCTCGTAAATGTATTTTTTTATCTAATGTTTTCATATTAAGTTGGATGAAGATAAAATGTATATCAAATATGTTGAGCTTTACGAGATCTAAAACTTTGTTTTTGATGACTTTTAGATTTATGGTAGTTTGGATGTCTGAAACTATGTTATAAGGTCTTGGATCTATTTGCATAAGCGAATATTTAAAATTTGTAAATGATTTCGGATGGAGACAAAACCTATATGAAAGTTGTAGATCTAAATGATAACTACAATTTTTTAGCTAACAAAACTTTTATTTAAGCTCATATATAGTGTTAAATATGGATTATAAGTTCGGATAGCAGTAGTCTCAAAATGATATCATTTGTTTTCAAGACAACTAGTCTTTGTAGGGGAGATATCTTCAATTCAAATCTTGCTTGAGACATATGTATGAATATGTGTTGAAAAAAATCACATGACTTGTGGGAAGTGAATTCTGACTGTATAGGTGCCTAATAAAATACCAAATATTTTTTTGATTTTTTAGCACATACAAAAATAAAAAAGGGTGCACCCTTGTATATGTGCTTGTTTTTAATTAAAACCGGCACATATAGTGTCACATAGGTGGTCATTGGTGCCAAATAATTTCTGCCAGCACCGAAGCCGGTACCTATAGGCCCTTTAGAACCGTCACCTATGGGTTTTTCTCTAGTAATGTCCACCCACCTCCGTCATAGCCCATGGTGTCCTGGACCACACAAGAAAGAAATAGAGGTAGAGACTTGATGGAGAAAAGAACAGGGCAGGAGACATTGACATATGTGGTCTAGAAGATTTGGAGAATGGGAAATGAAAAGGCTGGTTGAGTGGAAAAGAAGCATGAAGAGAAATTTATTTGGCTGGTTGCCAAATGGGCAAATAGAAAGTTGTTTTATGTGACTTACATGAGAAAAAAATTGATTTGTGGCATTCAAAATTGTCTCAAAACAAGTTGATCTAGAGCTTTTTACCTAGGTCCAGTTTGTGGAGCTTTAAGATTAGAAAAATTCGCTAGTGAGAAATTGGGAAAAAATGAATTTGTTAGCTTCAGCTTTCTGTTTTCTAGTTCATTTTCTGGATTCTAGAACTATATCCCTAATAATCTGATTGAAAATATGATTTTTTTTAAAAAAAAGCTAAAGATTTCAGGAAAAAACTATAGGTATGACATGCTCCTCCAAACAGGCCAAGTCTCCGGATAGAGTCCTAACTGATTTTTATCCCTTGCAGGCAAGCCAGGATTTAGCGAGGAATTTATAAGAACATGCATAGCCATCAAATTAGTGGGCTTGGAACTCTGGGTTATTTTTTTAGTAAATAACAAACCATCTTAATTAGAAGGGGCTTTATATAACTAGTGTTGAACCAATTACTTGATTCACTAGAGAAAATTTTGGAGGGAAGTCAGGGAACTACAAATCATGCACCTGATTCTCTAAAAATATTGGAAAGTCAAATGATTTAGTAAACCATCAGGTAAAACTTCAAGTTATACATGGTGAAAAACAAACATCAAATGAAACATTAAAAAAAATTAAATACAATGAAAACACACATTAAAACATATCGCTATCACGTATCAAACAATGAGTTTTAACAATTTGAAACGTATATATTTCTTTCATTAGAATATAATCATATGACATGTTGTTGTAAAGATTTAATTATAACAAATACAATGGTTTGATCGGATCATAGATTGGATAAGCAGTTTAGGAGAAAATTTATTTTGAAGGTTTTTACATGCATGCATGGATTGATAGAGTGGAGAGAGAGTAGGGGTAGGTAATTTCATTATTTTTTTTGAAACACAGGGAAAACGCATGCTGAAATATTTCGCTATCATATATGTAAAATTAAATTTCAATAGTTGAAACATATATTTTTTAATCATAATATAATCATATAACATCTTCTTGTAAATATTTAATTATAACGGATATAACAGTGTAATCGGATCGTAAATTAGATTAATATTTATGAGAAAAAATAATTTAAAACATGATAATAAGATAGTTAATATACATAGGAAAGGAGAAGGGTGATGAGAGAGAGAAACAGAGAGAGAACAGTACAGTACTAGCATGCATTGGTAGTGCATACATGTGCAAGAGAATGGGATGAGCAGAAGGTCGTCTGATTTTCTTGGGTTGGATCGGACGCCCGAGCTAGATCATGGCCACTGAAATCATCCACTGGAATAGCTTCCGTTTACGACCATTGTCATTTGAATTAGTGCAATTATTAAGAGGATAAAAATAGTTCACAAAACCAAAATAAAAGAAACAAGGGGAACAATAAGACGGTTTGCCCTTGCCAAAGGATCGATCCCCTCACTGCCTCTCTCCTGAGACCGACAGCACTCATCTGATCCAAATGCCATGTGTATAAGGGTGTGTTTAGTTCACGCTAAAATTAGAAGTTTAATTTGTTGAAATTGAAACGATGTGACGGAGAAGTTAAAATTTTATGTATGTAGGAAAGTTTTGATGTGATGGAAAAGTTAGAAGTTTGAAGAAAAAGTTGGGAACTAAACTAGGCCTAACTATGGATGCAGATGGCTTCCTCAGCATTGACTGCGGGCTGGAGGGAGACAAAAATGGCTACACGGACAACAGCAATGGCATCGTTTACACCCCCGACGGCGCCCCGTACGTCGACACCGGGGTGACTAACAATGTGTCCGCCCAGTATGTGAACACATGGGATCGTGCTCTCAACACGCTCCGGAGCTTCCCGCTGACGTTATTCGGCGAGCGGAACTGCTACGCGCTGCCCACCGTCCCCGGGGCCATCTATCTGGTGCGCCTGCGGTTCGCTTACGGCAACTACGATAACATGAACAGCGAGTCTGTTCAGTTCGATCTGTTCCTCGGGGTGAACAAGTGGGACGAGGTGTACATCGCGAATAAGGATAAGGAGTACAGCTCAGAGGCGATGTTTGTGGCGTGGGCGAGCTGGGCGTCGGTGTGCCTTGTTAACACCTACCAAGGCACGCCGTTCGTGAACACGGTGGAGCTGAGGCAGCTCGACAGCATGTTACATTTCCGGAAAATCATGGGCAACAGTTCCATCTACTTGTATGAACGGCGCAACATGGGACCTAGCAGTAGAGATAATCCAATTATAAGGTATGCTGTTAATTTTCTATCACAAAGAGTCCCCTTTATTTAAACGTAGAGCCCCCCAACCAACCACGAACCCTCTTTCCAATTCCTTTGAATTTTGTACATGCTAATTTGTCTTTGTGATCCTAAAAGTGATGTTACTGTCGGTAAGAGGGATTACTAGCTTGTTATTAATCCATGCATCACATATATATGAAACATGATTATATAATTAATATCAAATCTATATTTATCAGTTCATATTTTAGAATGATTAAAAACAAGAAAAATATAATAATTGATATTTATTCCACATTGAATGTGACTTTTTTAGGCGGAAAATTGAATGTGACTTCGGTATTTGTTAGTTTAAATTTCGAAAGCATTAAATTATCAAATGATTTAACTGAGAATCAGACAAGTCACAAGTAGAACTCAATATCTATAAACTGGTTATTATTAAATTTCATTAATCTAAGTTTTATCATTTATTAGATTGAGAAATAATCCTATCTTACTATAAAGGTGATGTCTGCTAATTTCTAAAGCTCAACATACAAGTGTGCCACATCATCACCCAGTAGCAATTATTATCTAAAGTATTTTAAATATTATACAAATATGACATATCATTACAATTTTTTTTATTTTTAAAAGTCAATATGCAATCAATGTCAAATCATTATCTCCACATCAATGTCAACATGTACACCTATCATTTCTATAATGTATAACATCCATTCATCCATATATCTCACGGCAAAGTGCAGGGTATCAATTCAACTAGTATAATTCATACTCCCTCCGTTTCGCAATGTAAGACTTTCTAGTATTGCCCACATACATTTATTTAGATGTTAATTAATCTATACATATGTATGTGTTTAGATTCATTAATATATATATATGTATGTGGGCAATGTTAGAAAGTCTTACATTGTGAAATGGATGGAGTACTCAATAACCAAATAGAATCATATATCTATTATTTTCCAAGTGTGGAATTATTAAATCTTAAGAACAACTATATATAATTCTAAAATAAAAAAAATATATATGTAATTCAGACTTCAAGCCGAAAACGACTCATGATTTATTATTTTAAATCATGAAAGATCTAAAGCTTAGAGTTCAAATCCAAGCAAAACTTGATACTTATTAATTCTAAATATGATAAATTCATATATTTTGTGATGAAATGACTGTCTTAAATTTTAAGATGGATGAATGTAGTTTTATACTTTTTAGTTTAAAATAGTAATGTTATATTTTTGTGATTAATGAATGAATTTTAAACTTTCATTACCTCTAGAATTAATGTGAGTGGTTTAAGGACAGCCTCCAAAAACCTATAAAAAGTTATAATGTAACTTCTAAGTATGATACTATAACTTCTAGGTAAGTCGCATGTAACTACACTAAAGCCACCATAACTCAATAAGAGGGAGGCACAGGCGTGATTTTTTTTCTTGGGAGGGGGGTTTGATAGGATCGACTCCCCTTAACTTCCTATTGAATGTTACTCCCTCCGTTTCTAAATGTTTAACACCGTTGACTTTTTAGCACATGTTTTATTTAAAAAATTTTGTGAAATATGTAAAGCTATATGTAAACATGAAAGTATATTTAACAATGAATCAAATTATAGGAAAAGAATTAATAATTACTTAATTTTTTTAATAAGACGAATGGTCAAACATGTTTAGAAAAATCAACGGTGTCAAATATTTAGAAACGGAGGGAGTATATAGGAAATCCAAACTTTTATATTTCTTAGTTTTGTTTGTAATCATGGACAATGCGTTGTCCAATAAAGGTCGAATTATTTTCATATTGGATTTCACTTTTACATGCAGGTATCCTAATGATACATATGACCGCTTTTGGTATCCTTGGGGATCGGAAGATGACCCAACGTACTCCAACCTTTCCGCGCCATCGACGCTGATCATTCCTCCTAGCCCCTCGTACGCAGTCCCGTCACCTGTTCTCGAGACGGCCGTCGTGCCAGCCGACAACAACAAAAGTGTTCTATCCATCATACAAACGAACGACAAAGAGATCCACGAGTACTTGGTGCTCGTGCATTACGCTGATTTCCAGAGTACGCTCCAGCGCCAGTTCCAAGCCTACAGCAATGGCGATCCTATCCAAGGTACCGGTGGCCCCTACGTAGCAGACTACACCGGTCAGACCGTCGGCACCATCGACTGGATCAGTGCTGAAACCTCCGGCAAGTATAACATCACTCTTGCCGCAACTGACAGCTCCCAGCTGCCCCCGATCGTGAATGCCTTCGAGGTCTACGGTCGCATTCCTCTCGATAATCCTTCTACGTTCCCCACAGACTGTAAGCTCGATCACACAGTCCATCTCTAACATACAGTAAATATTTTGAAATTATTGCATGATTCTTTGCTTAATTGCACTGTCAAGTTTAGTAGAAGATAGGGAGAGAAGAAAAAAAGAAAAATACTGTTAGGGGGTTTTGTATATATATATATATATATATGTATATGTGTGTGTATATATATATATATATATATGTATATATGTATATATACATAAGTATATATGTATCAGGAATTGTCAAATGTATAGTTTAGGAGTTAAGTGTTCCAGTGAAAAGTTTGAGGGAGTAAAAATGACATTTTTTTTAGCATGGGCCTTTTAGATTTTACAAACTATAATAGTATCAATTTCTTAATTTATAAATATGAATTTGTGCCCATATATAGTTAATTGACTCTTAAATCTGAATTCGAAAATTGATAATTAGCTAATAAGTTATTATAACAGACAGTTTATTCCTATTTCTAATTTAAGTCGCCATATTCCAAAAAAAAAAGAAGAAAAAACAATGCCATATGCCAAAAAAAAACAACGTATTCATTACATAACTAAAATATTAGTACTACAATACCAACAATAATGTTGGACGGGTTAGCAATGCACACTTCTGAAGTCCGTAATGAGCAGAGTAAAAATAATGATTACGATGAAAACCATGCAAATGTCTGAAACGGCGAACAAAGAACACGTAGAGAAATAACAATAAAATAATCATAATAAAAAAATATTTCTAAGTAAATTTCACTTTGGTCCATATTTGATTACCAATGTTTTACTTTAGACCACTATTTAACCAATGTTTTCATTTCTAACCCGTTAATTTTGCCATTGTCTTACTCTCGACCACCTCAATTCTCTTCTTAAGCATATGAACGATATGGAGTATGTCTCCTACTCATCAATTAATTCTCTCAGATACATGTAAAATCATTTCTTTGGCATATAACAAGTTGAATAGATGGATAAAAGAGTTGAGGCTGATCAAAGTACCACACAAAGGTAAACACATCATGTCCAAAGTGAAAACATTGGTTAAACAAAATATTAATAATAAAAGGTGACCTAAAGTGAAATTTACTCATATTTTTATATTATTTAAGAGATCATACTAGGCTCTATGATTAAACTTGCCCTTATTGTCATGAGACGTACACATCGGGAGGTGGAACAAACACACATTAACCTCACTCCACGAAGGGGAATTTTCTTACCTGAGCCCTAACACGATTGTGAGCCATCTATTACTTTGTTTTTGATGAATCTGATCGACTAAACTTGATAATACAATTAGTAGAAATTTTTTAGGGGTAATAGTGAAATTGAAATATATAATTGTACATTAGATTTGCATACCATACATCTTGTTAAAATAATGAATACATCGGGTGAAGCTACCATAGCGTAGTTTCGAGTACAATATTTTAAAAAGGATAGGACTACACAGGGCATGTGCACTAACTAGTAACAACTAGCTACCATGCATCCCGACAAATGCTAGAGTTAGGCTGTGTTTAGATCCACGGGTGTAAAGTTTTGGTGAGTCACATCGGATATACAGACACACATTTAAAGTATTAAACGTAGTCTAATAACAAAACAAATTATAGAATCCGACTGTAGACTGCGAGACGAATTTATTAAGCCTAATTAATTTTTCATTAGCAAATGTTTACTATAGCACCACATTGTCAAATCATGGTTTAATTAGGCTTAAAACATTCGTCTCGCAATTTACACGCAATCTATGTAATTAGTTATTTTTTTCGTTTATATTTAAAACTCCATGCATGTGTCCAAACATTCAATGTGACAAGGTGTAAAATTTTACCGGGGGATCTAAACAGACCCTTAACTTGTACTTGTACGTATTTTTCAGCCATTTTTCTTTTTTCTAAGCCCTATGTTTAGAATGACTCTGTCTCATTTATAGTAAAAGAAATGGAGGCTTTCTTACCCGAGTTCCAAAAAAAAGTATTTTTCTATGCTGGGGTATACATTTAAGTGATAAGGAAAAGGAAAAGATTCATAACACCTAAAACTCAAACAATTTTTTTCTTAATTATTTGTCGAATCTACAACCCAATTATACCATTGTGTTATAACAAGATATTACATGATTATATTTTGAATATATATATATGTTGTAAATTACTTTTATCATATACTTAAATTACTTTTTAAATATTTAGTGAATAGTTTACTTTATTGGTTAGATTTATAATATCTATTGATTAAATTTAATTTTCAGATATGTTTATATCCCCACAACAGATTTACTTTTAATGTCATGAGAAGTTCCTTTCTTTTTGTTTTTGTTTTATGTTACTTTTATAATATATGTAAATTACTCTTAGGATTTATTGAATTTACTTTTGTATGTTTAAGAAGTAATTTAATGAAATCTAAAAGTAATCTAGATATACTGTAAAAGTAATTTCGGTTTTTTCAGTAAAATATAATTATGTGAGACTTTGTTACGAAGATTTATTTTCTACGAACACAATGATTTAATTGGCTTGTATACCTTGGATGGGAAATTTTAGAGAATAAAATATTTGAAGCTTATGTGATAGGAATATATTGACTACTCCCTCTGTTTGGTATTATAAGTCGTTTTGACTTTTCTCTATGCAAAATTTTTTAAGTTCAACCAAATTTATAGAAAATTTAGCAATACTTTCAATAAAAAATGAACATATTACCAAAATATATTTAATGTTTCATTTAATGAAAATAACTTGATGTTGTAAATGTTGCTAAAGTTTTCTATAAATTTAATCAACTTTAAAAAGTTAAAACAACTTATAATATAAAAGGGAGGAAGTACTTACTTGATGGACTAGTACTATCGTTAAAGTTATGTTTTTCCAGATCAGCACATATACAGACAGCATCGTACGGGGTCACTTGTTAGGACTAAAACATGCACGCACACTAATTAGATTAGACGTTTTAAATACCCTAAAAAGTATATAGCTAGATTGGAACTCTACTGTACCCTCTTATATTGCCACAGAGTATAAGGGAACACTACCATAAAAGTGTCTAAAAAAAGTCCTTAGATTACCATTATAAGTTGTCTTATAAGTTTTATTCACTTACTAGTGGACCCCACATGTCTGTTTTCTTGTGTTGAGAAATTCCTTTCTTAAACCACCGGCTTATGATTCTTTTTTCTGTAAATGATGTAAAAATGACAGGTTATGCTATTTTGTATTATATTGTAGAATTTAATAAAAAAAATTCTCTTGAACTTGTCTTTCTTGTCGAATGCCAGTTGATGCTATCATGACTATCAAATTTGAGTATGGGATAAAGAAGAATTGGATGAACGATCCGTGTTTTCCATCCAATTTAGTTTGGAATGGCGTGAGATGCAGCACTGGAAGTGATAATACTATGAGGATAATATCTCTGTGAGTATTGTCTGGAAGAACTTCTAGCATGCATAATTATGATATACAGGTGCTACCTTTTCTTCATGTTGGATTACATGAAAATTGTCACGCAGGGATCTCTCGAACAGCAACCTGCATGGATCAATATCTAATAACTTCACATTGCTAACCGCTCTCGAGTATTTGTAAGTATATTTGTAATTTCTCTACTTTTCATTAAATATATTTGGAAGCCACCAGTTTTTCATACATATTTAAAGTATTTTGTTTGAAACTTTGATTACAAGTAACTTTAACAAATAAATAATTATTTTGCTTTTTTCGGCCTCGTTCAGATTGGGCTAAATTCCGAACCATGTATCCATCCATATCCACATGGATGGACCAGCTATAGCTATCGTTTAGTTCGAAGCCCTCCCTAGCTTCCACCATGCATGGATGATTGGCCTCTGATTGGCTCTACTACTCTTTTCGTCCAAAATATTTGGCTAGCTTTAACTTTTAAAATTACCCTAAAATGGCTACTTTTCTATCTAATTTCATCCCGGTCGACTACAACTATCTCCCATGCATTTGGTTTCTTCACCTAGCTAGTTCCAATCTTAACCAATCATAATATTTTCCTTTTTAATTTAACCTGTAATCCTTAATATCCTAAAAAGATAGTTATATTTCGGGTGGAGAAAGTACAAAGTATACTCAGTTAGTCCTGAAAAGAATTAGGATTCTTCCGCAAAGATTATCACTCTAGGTTGTAACTCATCTCATGAATCACCTGTTATTCAAATTTATCCAATTTTACCTCTCAACCATCCTCTCACTTCTAACCACACATTAGTTAATAAAGGGCTCTTCAATCTTTTCTTCTCAAACCATAATATCTGTTAAAAATCTAGAATGACTATCTTTTTTTACGGAAGGAGAATGTTTTATTTTGCACATCAATTGTTACCAAGCCAGGCACATTTTTTAAGGTCTAATTTTATCTTATGTCACTTACCACAGAAATTTGTCAGGAAACCAGCTGAGCGGGACAATTCCATCCTCCCTGTGTGAAAACAACGCAGGATCATTTGTTTTCAGGTTCAGCTATTTGTTTAATGTTGATATCGGAGATAGTATGTTGTTGATCCAAATTGTAGAAATTATGTTGCTCTTTAGGTGATCATTAGACATTATTACATAGGTGCACCAACATAAACTCTGAACAATTTTTCCCATGAAATTTCAGATATGTATCTGACGAAGATATGTGCAACACAGCAGGAACTCCAGTCCAGTCAAAAAAACGATCAGCTATTTTAGCCCTTGCAGTAGTGATTCCAGTGCTGGTAGCGGCTATCCTTATTCTTGCATATTTGACCTGGAGAGCTAGAAGAAAGCCCAATAGTGCGTATGCTGTGCTCTTAAGTAAAACATGCATTTATATTAAGTACGTTTATTTTTACTGATTTTTAGTGACGTTGTTATATAACTAGATTTTGTGCACCTAGATTCCACATATGGTCCAGAATTCTTGAATGCTCCAGGAAGTACGAAAAATCATTGGGACCATATGCAAAAAACTGAAAATCGCCGATTTACATACGAGGAGCTTGAGAAGTATACTGATAACTTTGAACGGCTCATTGGGCATGGAGGCTTTGGACAAGTTTACTATGGTTGTCTAGAAGAAAATATTGAGGTTGCTGTCAAGATGCGATCAGAATCATCACAACATGGGCTTGATGAGTTTTTGGCTGAGGTACCAAATTCAAATTAACTTTGAATGCCATCCAAAATTTGAATGTAAATAAGTTACATATATGAGATTACATGGACACAGAAGTATTTACCATGTGTCATCTATCACATTAAGTAGGTTCAGAGTTTGACAAAGGTGCATCACCGAAATCTAGTGTCTTTGGTTGGCTACTGTTGGGAGAATGATCATTTAGCACTTGTTTATGAGTACATGTCTGGAGGCAATCTTTGTGATCATCTGAGAGGTTTGTACATTGAACTACTTTAATTAAGTTGGGAATGTTTCCTTCACATTTACTACAAGATTACACAACAAAATGCATTTTAGATTATTAAGTTGTGAACTAGTGTGTGTTGATACTTAGCCATTTACACAAAAGAGTGTAGTAGAGCTGCATAAATTTGCCTTTTTTGGCCTGTGAAATTGTTGGTAGAGTCCTATCAGTCTAACACCTGTTCTCCACATATCTATGAAGGTAAAATTAGTGTTGGTGAATCCTTAAATTGGGCAACACGTCTACGTATTTTACTTGAAGCTGGACAAGGTATGTTACTATAGCAAGACAAAGAAAACTAAATTTGTGTTAAGCAAATGTGCTATATGTACTATATTCTCACTTGTCTTATTCTTGATATAGTTTTATGGGATTTTCTATTCATGATATGTATATATATAATTGTAGGCCTGGATTATCTACACAAGGGTTGCAACCTGCCAATTATTCATGGAGATGTCAAGACCAATAACATTCTATTGGGTCAAAATCTAAAAGCAAAAATAGCAGATTTTGGGCTTTCTAAAACATACCATAGCGACACGCAGACTCACATATCAGCCACAGCAGCTGGATCCGTGGGATACATCGATCCAGAGTAGGCTTTCAATGTGCACAAGTCACTCAATCACTTATTCAGCTAATGCAATAGTTATGTATACTAAAACAATGCATTTTTAGGTACTACAACACTGGAAGGCTCATGGAGAGCAGTGATGTTTACAGCTTTGGTGTTGTTTTACTAGAGGTAGTCACCGGTGAGCCTCCAATAATACCTGGACATGGTCACATTGTTCAGCGTGTGAAGCAGAAGATTGTCACTGGTAACATCAGCTCAATTGCTGATGCGCGTCTTGATGCCTACAATGTCAGCTCTATGTGGAAGGTTGTTGACACTGCCATGATGTGCACAGCTGATGTTGCTGCTCAAAGACCAGTGATGGCCACTGTGGTTGCACAACTTAAGGAAGGCCTGGCATTGGAGGAAGCTCATGAGGAAAGGGTCGACCTCGAAAACATAGCAAGTGATATCGTGTCTTCCGTGTCAACATTTGGTCCATCACCAAGATGAAGAAAGTGTGTGCGCCTAGCTTTGGCATGCGTCGATTCTCTGCTACAAGTCTAAAATGATATGACAAACACAATAATTTGCACAACATGTATTCATAAACAAAGATGGTTCAACAGAGCCAAAATAGGAGCGCTTAATTCCTTGCAATATATAGTTTGCTTCAATGTGTGGAACACAACAATAATATGTTTATGTGAAGAAACTGTTCTGGTACAATGTTACAATTGATATGTGGTAAGACCTTAAAATATAGGGTTATATGCTCATTTCCTTATCATTTCCTTCATATCTAGTTTTCATCATTATCATATGAACACAAGCATGCACCTCAAATTGGAACTGATGAAAATAGTGATTTTATTTCCACAATTGAGTTTATTTGGATAAATTTCCCCCACTAAAATTCTTAAATTTCTTTTCTTAAATAAAATAATAAATTCTGAAATTCAGATTGATATTCTGAAATTTTCGATAATTCCTTTTTGTGGGGACACCTAATAACACTCCTAGGATGTTCCGTTACGCATGAAATGATATAAAAGCATAAACTTTGATTACATTACTTGAGGTGATGTGGATATCACTCCTTCGGATACACACAACAATCTTCCAACGGTCATACAAGGACCGATAACAAGAGCTCGTCCGCGACAATTGAATTTAGGTGTGAGCTCGTTCCTATGTTCTTCTTTGTACGAATTTTAGAATAGACTGCTACCTAATGATTATATTGTGATTAGGAACAATGGAGGGGACAAGGAGACACGTGGAGAAGGACTTATAACTGTTTTGTTTGGCTAGGAGACATGAGAATTTTGGAGGGATGGGGATGGGGAATTGAGGAAGAAACTCCCTCCTTTTCAATACCTAGGTAGGGGGAGGGAATTCCTCCTTTACTTTATGTAAACAAATCTCAGCCATCCGTTTTTATTAATGAACTAATCTCCAACTAAACTCCCTATCAATTTCCTCCACCTCTACCAAACAAGATATTGGGATTAAAAATCAAATCCCATCTTAATCTCACCATCAATTCCCTTGTGTAAACACCCAATCCCCTTCCCTCGAGTTACCAAACAAGTCGACTTCGAGTGTGATTCGGAGTCCAGGACCAGTCTGCACTAAACCGGGCGCCCAGGTCGCATACGTGCTCGGATTGGAGTGTTCTTTATATGGATGAAAAGATAAGAAGATAAAATTTCCAATGGTTTTGGTCCCACGACCAAATACATTCCAAGTCAACGGGAATTGACCGAACAAGTTGACGTCCAGAATCTGTCCGGGTGCTGCGTCACCATATTTGGGCCTTTGGGCCGTGTATCGTATTAGAACCCATTAGGGTTGTGTCAAGACACAGTTGCATGACCCTAAACTCTATATAGCAGTACCCGCCGCCATCTTTAGGGTTTGGGTTTTGCTTAGATTAATCTGTCAAGAACAGTTTCGCCGCTAGATCGGTTTGTGGAACCCCAAATTCGAGTGTTTAATTATTCATATGCAATTGTGTTGTAATCTATCTTGTTCTTGCTTGTGTTCTTCGATTCGCATGCAGGAATCAGCCTTCTCGGTGAGGTCAATCAGGTTTCGGCACAGTTGATAACCAGAGGAGACGTAGTGCTGCGATTGCGGGGCTCAGTAGCGTGTTCGTTTAGAAGCCGGATCGAGTTGTGTTGCGACTCCGCCTATATCGACTGTTTATCAATACCTATCGGAATATCAGGACCTAACATTCCTCATCAGTTTGTAACATATTTAGTGGATAAATGATTCCGGAAGAGCAAAGGTAACACAGGTTTGTAGGGTTTCGTTTTCCATTGGCTCATATGCCGATTCTGTTGATTGTGATGTGGTTCCTATGAAAGCTTGTTCACTTTTGTTGGGTCGTTCTTGGGAACATGATAATGATGCTACACACCATGGTAGGAGTAATAAATACACTTTTGTGCATAATGGAAAGAAAATTACTTTACTACCTTTGACCCCTGCTGAAATTGTAGAACCTGATAAAGAACGAGTTGCTAGTTTGAAACTTGATGAATCTGAAAATCAGCAAATAGTTAAATCTGTTTGCCCACCTAAAAAGGATAAGCTTTCACCTAGCTCTAAGGTTGAGGGAATTAAATTGAAGGGTGGTGTTATGCTTGCAACAAAATGTGACATTGCTTAAATTTCAGATGATGATATTTGCAATTCCTTGATATGCGAACAAGCTTTGTTTTCTCTAGATGGTATTGCTAGTTCGGTACCTCCTGCTGTTACTAACCTTTTGCAGGAGTATGAGAATGTATTTCCAGCTGAGATAACCCTAGGATTGCCACCTATGAGAGGAATAGAGCATCAAATTGATTTGATTCTGGAAGCATCATTGTCAAACCGTGCTGCTTATCGAACCAACCCCAAGGAGACTATGGAAATTCAACGGCAAGTTCAAGATCTTTTGGACCACGGGTATGTATGTCAAAGCCTTATTCCTTTTGCAGTTCCTGTCATTTTGGTTCCTAAGAAAAATGGTTCTTGGCGAATGTGCATTGATTGTAGACCAATTAATAATATTACTATTCAATATTGTCATCCTATTCCTAGGTTAGATGACATGCTTGATGAGTTGTGTTATTCTGTAATTTTCACAAAGATTGACTTGCGTAGTGGCTATCACCAAATTAGAATGAAACTTGGAGACGAATGGAAAACAGCTTTCAAAACTAAATTTTGTTTGTATGAGTGGTTAGTAATGCCTTTTGGTTTGACTAATACACCTAGTACTTTCATGCGCTTAATGAATGAAGTTTTAAGGTCTTTTATTGGACGCACTACTACAGAAAGTGTTTTTGCATACGGGCGGTATCGATCTTCACATGCGGTTGGCCAGCCCGCATGCGCGAAATGGTCTGCAAAGATCACCATTTGCGCATGCAGCCGTCGCAGCCGCATGCGAAGATCGATCTTCGCATGCGGTCACTTAAGACGGCCGCATGCAAAAATAGATCTTCGCATGCGGTCCATCTAAGAAGCCGCATGCGAAGATATATTTTCCCATGCGGTCGACCTAACAAGACCGCATGCGAAGATCTATTTTTGCATGCGGGCGTCTTAAGTAGACCGTATGCGAAATTCAATTTCCGAATAGCTAAAATAATATTTATTCTAGCCTTTTGGTGAGATGTGTCTCGTAATTAATATTAAATTATTGAGGGATTTATTATCGTATTTCGGAGTAGTAAGCATATAAGATAAGACAAGTGCCGCAATAACAAACATGTAATATATAACCATTAATTCAATCGTAATTTACATACGAAATATATAATACAAGTGGCACAGTTTTTTCATCATGTTATTGCATATGTATAAGTAGTGTACATGTTATTGCATATGTTCTTTCTCCCACTCTCTGAGAGGTTTAAATTTGTCGTCCATTGCGAGTTCACTCTAGTTGTCGTAGAAGAGACCTCTTGCGTTGCAGACATCGCGATGGATGAATCGGCAGAGGTCAGCGGCCACGTTCAAGATAGTAGTGTCGTTGAATCGTTGTGCAATATATGGGATTTCGGGGATCTGCACACAGAAAGGAAAATAAAATGGTACTCAGTGAGAAGTGTGTGCGAGATGGGTTTCTTTGTAGAGAAGAGTTCGATGACTTACTCGGTTACTGGTTGTTTTGTACCTCCCATTTACTCTAAGCATCTCGCACACGTAATAACCACACAAGTTGGTTCCTGGTGGTTGTTTGTAGCACTGCGATATAATTATGGGGACCGATCTCAGTAGATATATTTAGTATGTATGTACTGTTCGATAATTAGTTGTATTGGTATAAATTTGATAGTACCGGCCAGCCAGTCCTGACGGATAACTTCTTCTGGGATGGAATATGTATTGGTCCACCTCTTTTGCGGTAGTACTTGTGTGCTCTTTTTGAAGGAAACAATTGTTTTATTAGTAGGTAGAAGACTGGTGATCGACCTAAACAATTTATAGTAATGAAATGTTTATCACTTACAAATTCAAAATAGTGAGGAATTCCATAAATGTCTCCTTGTCATAGTGTGCGGGGTCCAATGATATGATCAATTGGTCTTTCGGATATACAAGGAATAATATGTAGTGGTCTCTACATATAAGATAGGCTTATTGGAGATAGAAAATTCCGAAGAAGATAAATTAATTAAACAAAAAGAAGAGAGAGCTTATGTGAACTGGTAGGGGACCATTAAGACATCTTCGTCGGCGTGCGCCAACATTGCTATTGCCAAGTATGTTGCTACTTCTAGCTTCTTCCTCTTGTGCAATGTCTTCACATATTCTTCCTTTTCTTCAGGGGTCTTGCCAACCAATTGCTCGCAGTCCTCTCTCAGCTCTACGGTGTGTTGTGTTTTGCATATTCTTGTTGGATCGACATATCCAACCTTTGCTCCAGTTCTATCAGCTTCGTGGAATTGCATACTGTACAATGAATAAAGAAGAAATGAGATTTGGTTTATTTGTTTCGAATGAAACGTGCAACATGTAATAAAGAGTTTGTAATAAAGAGTTCAGACTTATAGACAGAAAGCCACAACGAGATTAACGTCCATTTTATCTAGCTTGTAGAGGGCGTAAAGGTCTCGGAAAGAGATAAAAAATATCCTATTAGGACCACTCATGAAAGCGCCTTCCGGGACGGCGACGCTTATGAAACCGAGACCTTTCCTAGATGCCTTCATATACCATTCGTGCATTACCCTCATTTCCCATGGTAGCTTGTTCATAAGATAAGTTGGCAAGAATGGCTTGCCATACTCATAAGTTTCAGGCACATCGGCAGATAACCAGGATTGCACTTCATCTTGGGCCTCTAGTACTGACTTCTGGGAGTCTGACAAGACGTGAGCAAGTTCTTTTCTCTTCTCAGAATTCCTGAAAGCTGAAAACATGAACTTCTCCTTATCCTTGTCAATCTCCTTTGGGTCGTATATCGATATCAACTTTGGAATTATACGACGAGGTTCCAAAGTATTAGACTTCGGTTCGGATGTAGTACCATTTGGTATGTGCACTTGTTCTACCAGAGCAGATTGGGGTGTAGGTGGAGAGGTTTGAACTGAGGACGGAGCCGGGGGAGCATGCTGTTTAGCTGGGGAGGTGGGAGAGGCTTGAACAGGTTGCGGGGCCAGGAGAGGCGGTTGTTGAGAAGGGGAGGGTGGTGGTGTAGGTTGGCGAGGCGGTGACCTAAGCGGTGGTGGTGACGACGGATGTCGAGGTGACGGTGGTTC